GGACCTCTCGCACCCAAAGCGAGAATCATACCACTAGACCAAATGCCCTGAATGCTACTTTGGATCTTTTTCAATTTATAATTAATTAAAATAAATATATAAGACAAAACAAAAATTGAAATTGGGGCATTCCGAGAATCGAACTCGGGACCTCTCGCACCCAAAGCGAGAATCATACCACTAGACCAAATGCCCTTTCTAGTATTTATTTATTTTTTCATTTTAATTATTTAATTTCACAGTTCGATTCTCGGACGCCAAATTTGCTACGTAGTTAGGGATAATGACCGGGTTTTATTCGATCTTAATTTTAAGTTTATTTTTTGAAAATAAAAAATAATAATAAACTATCTCTGTTGAAATCCAAAACAAAGGAAAAAAAAGAGTGTTGAAAGGATTATGAGCTAGAAATCCTAGAGAGAGTGCAAAGGAATTGTTCTATATTGGACATCATCAACGTAGCTTAGATTCCCATCGAGCGTTAACTGATAGAAATAATAGAAGATAAGAACAATATAATATAAGAAGCTTTATTGAAGTAGATAAACTTTAGCTTGAATACATTAACATGTTCCTCTCCTATTTATAGGATTAAGAGGGAGGATTTTCCTCAACATAATGGGAAAATCTTATCTTCTATCATGCCCCCACAAGATGGTGCTCCTGACAAGGATACCAATCTTGGATCAGGATACCAATCTTGGATCATCTTCTATCATGCCCCCGCAAGATGGTGCTCCTGACAAGGATATCAATCTTGGATCGGTAAGAAAGAGGCTTCGTGAGTAAGATAAGTGTAGATCGCTGCTGCTGTTGCTGCGATTGCTGTTGCTGTGATGGCACAGGCGTTCCCTTCATTCTCCTTAAGTCTGCCGAATGTTGACAGATCAACGAAGACTACCGCGGTGAGGAAGATGAGGATTGACCACGGAGCCTCTTAGGAATGCAACGGCATTGGTCGCTGGCCGAAGGGTGAAGCTTCACTTTTCTCAGCGACGTTGGTTGCTTGCCGAAGGCAAGAGCGAAGCTTCGCTTTTCTCAACGACGTTGGTCGTGGTTGCGATTACGACGGCTGCGACGGTAGAGAAGAAATCTACAGCAATATTGCAGTGATGCTACTACAGCAAAGGAGGAAACTGCAACAGAGGAGGAAGCTGTAGTAGAAGAGGAAAGTGTAGCAGAAGAAGAAGGAAAATAGCTACAACGACGAAGAAGCACTAGAGATGCCGTAGCGGAAGGGAACGGGCGGAAGGGAACGGACGTTGGCGCAGAGTGGCAACACCGAATTGGCAGCGAGAAGAGAGCTTGCTCTAGGCAAGTGGCTCTGATACCATGATAGAAATAATAGAAGATAAGAACAATATAATATAAGAAACTTTATTGAAGTAGATAAACTTTAGCTTGAATACATTAACATGTTCCTCTCCTATTTATAGGATTAAGAGGGAGGATTTTCCTCAACAGAATAAATGATTTTCCTCAACAGAATAGATAAGATTTCCTCATATAGTGGGAAAATCTTATCTTGTATCACTAACATTCGACTACGAACCAAGTCGAAGAACTATCTTTGTGAGTGATTCGATTTGACGATCTGACTTTGAAACGAACAAACAGTTTTATAGTAAGTTTTCCTTAGTACAGTACCTTTGGGAAGGGTGGGCTGCACTGTGGTAGCACTCTTAACTACTCTTAAAAAGTTATTCTATTGGAAGTTGATTCTAACAACAGTTTTGAAATTATCTATCCCACTACGCCAGTTAATTAAGATCCCTTGGAAGATACTACACATCATTGTTAAAGACATTCTTGGTATTTTCTTGTTTTAAATTCAAATTTATCTATATTCATACACAGGATAATTAGACAATTACTTGCTATGATCCCTTCTACTAATTGTCTTCTTCTATACACCTTCAAATATTTGTCACTCCTCTTAACATCCTTCTTATAAACTTATATCAACTACCATAAATTATGATTATTATACCCTTCATTGCTTTCACTAATTAACTCAACACTTATGGTCCCAGTATTTTAGATGAATATTAATATCTAAAAAAAACCTTTCGCCTACTGACAAGCTTGTGATCAAAGGAGACATACCTCAGTTCTAAATTAGGTTCAGCAGTTAACACGAGATTAAGGTGGTGCAAGCTACCTCTGAGGAAAAACATCATCCAGTCAAATGGAAGCCAATAGGAAATAATTAGAGGCCAAATACATTGCTTAACTTAGTGTGAAAAATAGTACATAGCCGCGAAACCCTTGCGTACCTATCGATGGCCTGCCACCTCGGTGGCTTTGACCGGAAAACATACCTGCTAAACTGCAGTTACTCCATATATACAACATCAAAGTTGTGTTGCATCTCCCTGCTAACTTCTGGTTTCTTATGGCATCGGGGACTACTTTGTCCAGCTTCTCTTGTAGACAGCTTTCCCTTCTTAACAACTCAGTATCACGTACAAGAGTGGTGCAAGGAGCAAATGAACAGAACTCTTGCCTGAAGCAAAAGCTGAACACAAACGAAACTGATGTTACACCAAGAATAATGCAGTAATTGTATGAAGCAAAGAGTTTATAGGAACAGTGGTAACAGTCGAATGGGTAACGATTGCTTCTGATGCTTCACATTTAGGACAATGCACTTGATTTGGTTCTTCGTCTATTTCAAAGACACAGAAGCATTCATTTTTTTTTCCAAAAATACTGAAAATTTTAATTAGAATAAGGAAGTCTACAATAGTAGGAGAGCCATCCAACAAAGAAGAACCCTGATGAGCCAACAAGATGATGCATAACCGTTGATTAATTGTCAAACAAGTATTTGATCAAATTAGTTCTTCCAAACTTATTAAAATAGTTGATACTTTAGACGAAAATTCAAAATTAGTCATCTTCATTTAACTTTGTTTGTTTGATTAGAAATGGAATCTGAATGCATGTAAATCTTGTTCTACGATGAAAACTCACCCCTACATTCACTTGAAAATATGATTGGATATTTTTCTCATGGTTCGTCTTACCAGTCCGTACCAATGTATCGACCAACAATCTATACGATACATACCGATGTGCAAACACATAGTATAGTGGGACGAACCAATAAACTGGTATGTACCGCCCATACCGGTTCCGTATCGAATCGGTATGTACCGCTCATACTGGACGATATACCATGGTACGACAAACCATGATTCTTCTTATATATATGAACATGAACGAATTTCATGAAGACTCCTTCCATATTTGAACAGTAAAACAATAGAAAACATCCATAATGGATGGAAGGGAATTATTTTTCTCATTCCAAAATAGAGAATATTTCTCTTAACACTATTTGAACCTCATTAAGAGCCCAAGTTTAAACTAGTCATTAAGTAGAAAAAGTTAAACAAAAAAGGGTTAAGATGTCTGGTTAACGACTAAAAACATTTAACCATGTCAAACAGTCAAAATGATCATTTCAAAACACTCACAAAACTAAATCAAGAAAATTGTTTCACAATAAATGATACTGAATGGTGAGGGTGTGTAAGACTAGGTGTATGGTACAATACCAGTCTGGACGTTTAGCGAAACTACTAGTCTAGATTCGAGATTTATATCATTGCTAGGACAACCTAATATATTTTAGAACTAACAGCTCTTTGATTTTATCCTTGTGCCAAAATAACCATGAACATAGGGTGATCGAGACAACGGCTAAAGAACCTAAAAGGCCTCTCCTGCTGTTAAACTCATGCATAATAGAAATCGTCATTGGTGTTGCCTGAAACACCATGATTAAAGAAGTCAAATTCAAATCCTGGATATTTCTGCATCCAAAAGTAGCTCACCATAGATCTATCAAGTTTCCTGCTAATTCTATCAACTACTAATTGTTGCTTCCATCAAGCCCAACTGAAGCCTTTATATTCTAAATCATTAACACCAATTTTAAAAAGCATTCCTTCATATCAGCACAATTGCTAAGAGAAAATTTTCTATCCTTGGAATCATCTGGATTTATTATTGCATTCAAATCTCCTAGGAGAACCCATAAAATAGTACAATTGATGTCTACATCTTAAACTTTCCAATAGCTTCCATATTTTCAGATCCAGAATTAGCTCCATAAATGACAGACAACAAAATATCATTTCCTTTGGACAATGTCATCTAACAATGAATAACTTGTCTCTCTTTACTCATGGGATGAATAGTAAAAACAACATTGTTCTTGGAATTTAATAATAACTTGAAGGGACCATTCTAACAACTCTTTAAGAAACCATATTAAAGTTGAATATCGAGCCTCTTGATAAATGTTCTTGGAATTAAAAGGATGCATCTGTGACCTTTGTTGAAGCCAATGGAATTCAATAACTCCAAGCCACCAAATAATGTTTCAATAGGATCAAGAGGATCACCAATTTGCTGAAGCAAGATCTCAGGGAACACCAAGCTCACAGTTAAAACAAAGAAATCACTGATTCCACATAGTCTAGTAAAAAAGAAAGGCTTACACTTGGAGTGCTTCTTCTTAACTAAAATTGACAGTTCCTTCTTCTTACTTGCAGTTGGAGGAGCTGATAATGACACGCCAGCATTTGGTGATGGTCATTCACAAGGACAGACAGAGATTAAAAGGGATTGGCAGGATATCTGCATGGATAGCTTGGAAAAGGGATGACTATGAAATTAGAAATATTTACTAAACAGGAATGTACCCCGTAGCCTCTACCACACAAACCATATGCACAAACTCTGGTAACACTTAAACCCACAAGGTCAATGTGTTGAAGAATGATACAGGAAGTTGGCTAACATACAGAACTGATCATTCTCAGTGACAACTGGTCCAATGAGATTGCTAACAGATAGCTAATGAACCTTACTTTTTGCAACCATCTGCTAAAACATTCATTAAGTCTGAGACCATCCACATCTGTTTCTTCATTAAGCCGAGCAATTTCAACTCCTAAAGAGAAGCACGGTTCTATAGTCATGGGCACATAAAGGGAATTACATATGGAACACCAAAGTGCACACCCCTGGATTCAAGATATAATGTATACTAAAAATTTTGTCCAACTGGTATTTCCTAGTCTAACCATTTAATTGATTAGAATTGGTTAAAACCACAACACATCAGTCCCCAGTTTTTGGACTGACGATGTCACCCAAGGGGACAATCATCAAGTATGCAACACTACCAATGAATTATGCAGATGAGAAGAAACTTGATCAAGATCATGCATGATAGACATAACTAGAAAATGGTTATTCCACAAGAACAAGAAGAAACTTGATAGAATGGGTAAAACAACATGTGATGACACCCATCATGTCATAAGTTATGCAACTTAACTTTGACTTAAATCAGGTTTAATCAAGTTGACTATTCAAAAGAATAAAGACAAGAAAAATCCACTTCAAATCATGAAATTATTCGGAAAATTATGTCATAGCAAGATCTTAGCAGTACATGTTTTTATCTATTTTCCACAAGTCAGTATCAAAAAAATTAACAAGCTCAAGCTCTGACTATGGCATGAAATCACATGATAAAATATTTGAAACCATGTTGAAACAAGATCATACTATCACATGTCTTCTCTTTAGCTCATTTTCAGTTAATTATATCATTTGCTGTAGAAGTTAGTGTAACAATTCAACCTTTTGCTAAATAATCAGTGATGGTATGAGAAAAACTCACATGAATATGGTGCAGGTGAAATAGATGGCAACCTATCAGGAGGCTTGTTATCTGTTATACCCTCACTACGAGGTTGAACATGGGTAAAAGAAACAGCAGGTGAAGGAGAAGGTGGATTCATGTTTGGAGCTGGAACAGGTGAATTTTCATGCACACGAGGAGCAAGTAGATGTTGTGGAGCACTTGCAGGCCTAGTAGAGTGCCCCAAAACAGCTTCTGGTGCAGCAGAATGCTTTGGAGCATCAACAGGTGCAGCAACTGGGGCCAAATAACCCTTGCTTCTTGGTTTTCTTGAAAATCGATATCGGCAGCCAGAGGGAGTTGGAGATTGGTAAGCAGGTTGTGGAGCTGTATCAGGCACAGGAGCAGGAGCAAGGTGCATAGGAATATGGTGATGATGGCCATGGTGATGATGGTGGTGGTGCAGGTAATGGTGATTATGATCTGGATTTGGTTGAGGAGCTGGACTTGGTGAACCAGTATTTCCTCCATTATTCAAGGAATGTTGAGGAAAAGAGAAAAGACGTATTTGCTTTACTCTACCAAATACAGTATGATTTAGGCCAAGGTTTCCTGCAGAAGAATTCCGAATTGTTTGAGCCAACTCCTTCCACCTTGGCAGGGAGGGTTGCCGATTCCCAACTGCAAGTATAATGGAGGTTTGAACAATTGTTGGAGGAGCAACTGTAGAGCCCTCCAAGTTTGTCAATCTAACATATAAATTCTGCAACAAGTAACGAAGAAGTTAGTATCTAAAAAACAACAATTTAAGAAGTGCAAAGCTCACTATTAGAAACTTGTTATTTATAAGTTGCAGCTTATATATCAGAATGCTCACATAAGCCATCCAAGATGATGTTTTGCCACTGGAACCATGGGATCATGCTATGCAGGTGATGAGGCAAGTGCCCATTGACAACTGCACCAGGTATACAGGCACGGGGCACAGTTGCATTGTATCAATCTGAAGTGTTCTTTTTTTTCTTTTGACATATCCTTGCCTAAATTGCTCTACTAGATTTTCCAAAATGACTAGTAGGAGTCTCTTTCAAGCCAATGCTATACCCTAAATTATCTAGGGTCTGGTAATTGTAATAGTAACTACAAATAATAGTCACTCTATATAGGAGAACTAGAAATCAAGATCCCAGAAAAAATTATCGATAAAATGGCTTCAGATATTAAATTCTTCAGGTTGTGCACATAAAAAAACCTTAAGCATACCCGGAAGCTAGCTTCGTTTCAATAATCTGTTTATGGTAACAAATGTAATTCAGTAAACAGATGCACCATAAGCAAGGAAAAATAGAAAAAAATATATATCAGTTAAGTGAAAATGAAAGAAGCCATTGGCACAGGGAATGGAACATTGTGTTCAAACCTCATTCGAGTTGAGAAGTAGTCCAGCCTTCATCTGATCCTTCAGTTCACTGACTTTGTCCTGGACTTGATCAATAGAAAAATTTAAAGTAAAATTGAAAAGCATTTGCACCTTCTGCAAAAGAAAAGCTCTTTGAGGGGGTATTATGGTGATCCCTCCAGGAAACTTAAGCACTTCAAAGAACCATGAGTTCCCAAACAAGGATGCAGTCAGATGAAGTGTTGACTGCCTTACGACCAAGGACATAAAAGACTCCCTAAGTATGCTTAGCCCAGTTGTTGAGAGAGTTGAATTTCTTGGATAGGGCCAAACTCCAAAAACCACATTTGTCCAGTTAGATCCACCCAAAGGCTCCAGATAGATTACGGCTACCTGATCGAGTTAAAGCATTCAATAAGTGCATGTTCATGTTGAGGTAAACATAAAATATGCATTAAGAGTAAAAGAAAGAGCACCGAAGAATCAGGGACACCAATTTCTTCAAAGATGTCAAATTGAAGTTTTCCAATATTGGCATTTAGCAGAGCCACTGGCTTTTGTAGTCTGAAACTCGCAACAACTTCAGCTGGCAAAACTAACTTAGTCAATTAAAACAACTCAAATGACCAAATTAATAAAAATATAATATAATACAAAAACCACATCATAGTTTGTATATAAGAAGATTTGACAAATATATTAATTTAACACATTTTAAGCAAATGATGGTTAGGAGCAATTGGAAAGAACATCACTGTTGTGAATCATACAATATTGCTGTTGGTGGAACTAAATAGCAGAGAAATAATGGAGTGTTGGCTTTCTTGCTCTAAATCGAGACAGACATGAACAAGAACTTCCGCTCTTCTTAAATTCCAAGGCAACAAAGATACTCAATAATCTATATAACTTAACCATTTTACATCAAGCCTCAAGGCCATCGTTCTTGTTAGATACAGCAATCAGCAGCTAGAGGGGACAACTTAAAGTGACAATTTCTTCAAAAGGATTTCAATTTTTTTCAAAAAAATATCCAACTCATTTTTTGCCTACATATGAACAATGAAGTACTGAGACAACAAAGCCCATTATATTATAAAGGTAATATCTAACATAAAATTGCAGAAGATTTTGTGGGCATAAAATGTGATCATCCATACAACCAAATAACATGTTGAAAGGTGTGCTACTAAGAAGAGAGCGCTATCATATGATTAGACAATTATTTGGTATCGATCAGTCATGAACTATTATGAACTACACAAAGCACATAACTTTACGTTTTCATGTCCTGAACAGTTCTTTAGGACCCGACACTGATTAATTCTTGTAAAACTAACTAAAGGATGATGCCAATAAGGGTTAATGGCACAAGATAATTATCAATCTCATTAAACTTCCTACGTTCTACTGAATACTAGTCAATCGTTTGTCCCTATGCCAGTGTTGCTAACATGGATGGTGTTGCTGTAAGTTTCTATTGAAAATTATTATAATTTTGCTGAAGTTGACCCGCTAAACCTTAAATTTTGCTTTGTCATCACTGGCCAAGCCCTACTTCTGTCGCCTAATATTCCTTTCCTCTTCCTTCGCGCCGCCGCACCACCACCTTCTGCTCCTCTCCTTCACCGTCATCATCCTCCTCCCCCTCATCCGCGGCCTGATTCCCAGGCCTTCCCCGCTACTGTTATAGTTTCTTTCACTACCACCACCACAACGCCAAGGGGATCTGTGAATAGGAAGGAACGGAGGAAAAGGGGAGGCGGAGATGGTGGTTGTGATGGTGGCGGTGGTATCGGAAGAGGAGGAGGAGGAAGAAGAAGAAAATGAGGTGGCAACGATAATGCTGCTTTCAACCCAAAAATATACCAAGCTTTTAACACTCCGCCACCTGACCTGTGAACCGCGAACCCCGATCGTGACGCCCGTACATCTTCACGAACGGCGGCAACCAGAACACCGCCGACAGCAGCACCGCGAGGCCAAGAATCAGAGCGGCGACGCAGCGGGGCCGCACTACACGCCCGATCGAGCGGCAGCGCGGGAATCCGGAGCCGGAACTCCTCTCGGAAGCCTCAGGCGGGGACGTCGGCAGCGCGGGCGCAGGCTGCTCCTCTTCGGATTTCCCCATCGCCACCCCACCAGATCTCCTCAGCCCGCATTCCCACCGTAATCTCCTTCCAATGCGCCCATTGCCTCAACACGGCGACTAATCGTAGCGGAGATCAACAAGACTGAGAGGGTTAGAGCTGGACCGATTAGGGTTAGAGCAAGGCGAGGGGGAGGGAGAGGAGGGAGAGATGAAGGTGAAGGAGAGAGAGAGAGAGAGAGAGTTAAGTAGACTTCAACACTGTGCTTTATTCATATATATTGTCATATAGTTTCTTTTGCCTAACCATCGGAGAGACGTTTTTGCATTTACACCCCTATAATCCCGTGTTTCGCACTCACGTTCTTTCTGGTGACAAACTGACATGTAAACCAGCCATGTGTCAATATAATACAATTGCGGTTCGATCCTGGAAGCACGCATGTGAAATTTTAAAATGGTGAGGGTGTTAATGCAAAAAACTCAGGCCGTTTGAATCGACCCGTGACGCTGGTGAGCGTTCTTTGCTTCACAGTCAAGGGAGAGGTTGGACATGGGGCACAGATTGGTGGATAATTACGAGAGTGCCATAATCCTCGGAAGACACGTGTGTGGTCGATGGGACAAGTGGCATGAATCAAGATGGAAGACTTGTCGTAGACCTGACTCCGGTTCATGAACCGTGCGTTCCGGTTTAGTCTAATTTGGAATCTAAACCGAATCTGTTGCAGGTGATTTCAAGTCCAATTTGAGATTCGATTATTTCGAATCTGATTTTGAACTAAATTTTTTTTTAATATCTTTTAACTTAGTTATTTAATTTATCATTTATAGGATATTTATTTTTTTTTTTTTTTACTAGTTCGAATTTCGATTTTGATTTTAAATTTTAGAAACTGAAACTGAACTGAATCATTTCAGTCTAATTTAGTTTGAAATCGTCCGATTCAAATTTGGTTTAGTTTTGATTCGAGTTAGGTTGATAGACTTTGATATGTTAATTAATTATATATATAACTTAATTAAAAATTTATGCATGATATATATATATATATATATATATATATATATATATATATATATATAATAAATCACTTTCGAACGTAGGTGATTAGACTACAAACATGCCTTATTTATTTTAGGTTTTTATCATTCTACCAATTATGTAATGTGGTGAATTTTTGCTTACAATAATTACAAAAAAATTGTCCAAAGATTTTGCCAAATATTTATACAAGATATATTCTACAAGATTGTCAATGATTTTATGATATTATTCATAAAGCTAGAACGGAAAAAATAAAAATAAAATTATTTTAGTAGACTAGTTGAAATCCCATCATCTTGGTCTTTGAACCCTACTTTGATTGTTGAGCCTTATCACTTCAGCTTATCCAATCCAATCCAAATGTCACGTGTTAGTTGTTTGTGAGTGTTTCAAAAAAAAAAATTTATTAATTTTCGTTATTATAAATAAAACCAACAAATAATATTTCATATAAAAGTGAGATATGCATGTATTGTTAAAATTTTAAAAATTATTATATTAAATGACACATATGTTATTCATAAATAGATTTATCTATATATATAATTTTTTTAAATAAATAAAAAATAATATTAAATAAACATATATAACGTTGAAAATAGAGTCAAACCAGGACCTATCACCCAACCAATCCGATGTTTCAACAAAGGCAAACATATATAAACGATTTTTATTTATTTTGATGATATATTTTTTTTAAAATAAAATTTATTTTTAATTAAACTTTAATTAATTACGTGATATAATCTTTTTTTACTTAAGCTCTCCCATGATATCCAAATTCTAAATCGATTCTGATACCAAATATCACGACATGAGTCAAATATAATACACTCATCAGATTATCAAAATACTTAAAATGAAATTATCATAATACATTCATCATATTCTTATAAATCAATTTTAATCTTTATCCAACTAATCAAAAATGTTATAATTTTTGTTGGGCATTCACTACTCAAATTTGTTGTTCGAATTTTAGCAAATGAAAAATAGATTGCCAGGGATTATTTTAAAGGGCCGAAGAGAAATGCTAAAATAATATTCTGTTCATACCTCAAAATATTTATCAATCCACCAAACCATTAAAATTAAAATCGACATAGAGTACGTTTCCGAGTCCACCTTAGCCCCCTCCAACAAGCGCTCGAACTCCATTCTTAAGCAGAAGATCATGAACCGAATCAGGTTGATTCAGACATCACTAGCAACATACCTATCAAAAAATATTATTGTGTTTACAAAAACAACAATAATGTCCCTACCATATGGCATCAGCTACATTGTTATTTCCATGCTCCCACAAGCCCTTGTGCAAGACAACAAGACAACATCCTTGGTTATTAGCTGTGGCTATGTAAAACTTAAGTAAAAGAAAACTACAAAACTTACCTTTTAGATAAAAAAGTTTTTCTTTCAACTTTTGCTTTGACTCATAAGAAATAGTCATGATGTATAAAAGAAAAATTGTAGGCAGGAACTATATAAAATAGAAACTTGTTCCACCAATAATCATGCAGCCAATTTTCTCGAGCATTTCTAACTTGGTATACTCTGGCACAATATATAAAGCTCAAAATTTGTTCTGTGACAACATTGTCCAGTAAAGAAAACCAAAATAATGTGTAATTCTTCAACACTAATTTGCCATTGTCAAAACAATTGGCAGCTGGAGAAGGCCTCAATCCTATGATGACAAACCATGATTGGCCATTGACAAATCTTCATCAACAAAATTACAGCAAAAGGCTTTATAACACATTTCATAACCACACAAATGCATACCAAATCCTATATTTGAAAGATAACCACCTTTCAGAACAGATGATTACATTAAAAAGTGTAAATTACATGATTCCAGAGAAATTTGCTTCATCTCATATTGAACATCCAATTCACTCCACACAGCAGTGACAGGAGACTTCAACCTCAAACAGTGTCATACAGCTACTAGAGCTTCAACTTAGGATCATACAAGTCATATCCATTTTCTCCACTTCACTTTATCCTTATCTTATAATGGGATAGGATATGAAGAAATTACAATTAAGAAGCAACAAGAGAATTCTAAGAAACATGTTTACTTTGAGTTATTATTCAAAGAATTTTGAATAATCAGAAACTCCACACTTTTGATGAAAGCAGTCAATTTATGGATAAGATAATTCTAAGAAACATGTCTACTTTGAGAATTCTAAGAAATATGTCTACTTAGAGTTATTATTCAAAGAATTTTGAATAATCAGAAACTCCACACTTTTGTTGGAAAGCATTCAATTTATGGATAAGAAATACTGTACAGAAGACCAGTCCAAAACCAGCATTTAGCTGATAATTTGATGTACAGAAGAAAATACTAGAAACAACGTACACACATGAATACTAAATTTGAACAATGTCGAAATGAATGAGTAATAAGAGCAATATGCTTAGTAAATTACTGAAAGCATGCCCTTGACAAGGTATCATGCAGGTAAGTGATGCTTACTCCGTTATGTCAAAACACAGTTTAGCTTCATCCCATGGACCATTTATCTCAAACTTGTATTCCTGTATCCTTATAAGCCAGTAGGGGCAAACAACAGATATGAAAAGTAGAAGACCTAACAAGAGAACAAAGAGCATGCCATGCAACTGGTACACAACACTCAGTGTCATACTCATTAATGCAAATGAAAAGCCTAGGTGCACTCTGTTGGAGTATTTCTTGATGCAAAACGTGATAAGTGGAGCAAAAAGAAAGATTTGCAAAGAAAAGAGCATGATGGCAAAGACATGAAGCCTAGATGGGAGGCGTGAGGCCACAAGAACTGATGCCACTATTGACGCATTCAAAGAGATGTTACTTGCCAGATTCGGGTTCTTCAGAGCACCGGGGGGTCTTATTGTGGAGCCAGAATAATCATGCAGGAAAAGATGGATGATGAGAAGCGATACAGTTAGTGCCACTATTGAATCTGAACTCATAGACCTGGTGAGAGTGTGATAGATAGGTGCCAAAATGTATAGGCCACATATGAAAAAGGAAATGTTGAGAAAATACCGTGAGAGAAGCTGCACGGAGAGCTGACTAGTAGTGATCAAGAGTATCGAAAAACCAAGTGCTAGGAGACCTACATCCAGTTTAAGGAGAGAGATCTCATCAATGTTCAAGCTCAATGTGTGAGCCCATACAGAGACCACAAGAGCTACTATGCATATATATTGAGTAATGGAGACAGAATCTTGCATCACTTTCCAAAGATCCCTCTTTACCACATTAGCATTCATAACCATTTCTTCAAGAAATGACTCATCGGTGTAGTTGTCATCATAACCTGGCTGCATTCCTCCATAGGCCACTTTCTTCCACATTGGCCGTTCTATGACCTGATCTGTAGCACCTTCCATCTACCTTGTTATGTCTTCGGATGCCGAAGTCTTCAGTAATCAACTTTTCCCTGCAGAGGGTAAGAAAATGAAGTCCAAATGAACCAACAGGATAAGGTCGATTAAACGGATTCTCTCCTGCAATCCAGTACAATAATACCACATGATGGTATCCATATATAACGTGATGATAGTGTAATGCATACCGATCGATGGCTGAATTGGTATGACGCAGTACAGATCAACATACCAACGCTCAGTATGGATCAGTATCACCTATACTAGAGAAAAGAGGGAGAGAAGAAAGGGAAGGTCTGAGGCAGAGGAGGGTTGGGATCGGGAAGGAGAAGAGGGGTCGAGGGTACCAGGGAAAAGGGCACGGGCGGTGGCGGCGGCGACAGGAGGAGAGGAACGCGAAGCGTCTGGGAAGCTCGGCTTGAGAGGGATCACCGGCGGCCGCGGCAGCAGCACCGATTAGAAGATCGACACCGACTAGGGTGAAAGATCGGATAAATCACTCTACTGGTTTTCCTATTTCTTTTATTTTTGGGGGGTTTTATTTATGAGTTGGCTTGAGTTGAATAGCTAAACTCGGATCAACTCGTTCGAGTGGACGATTCACTGTCCCAATCGATTCGCTGGAGTTGACCAGATCGTGATTTTGACCACTTGCTCTTTGCGTGCCGAAATTATGAATGCAAAGTGTCTATACAAAGTGGAAAAATTCCATTTTCAAGAAATTATTAAATACTAAAACGAGGTACAAATTGATCCAAGATATAAAGTACTTTCGACATTAATTTTTATCTACACTTAAGATATTCATTTGATGATAATATATCATAATTATTTATTTAAGAGTTATGATTCGTGATTTTGATCATTGTCCTCTTAAATCTTAAATTCTTATGGTTTACTCATGTCTAAAATAATTTTTATTTTTTTAAAATATAATATATAAATACCTTTCGTCAAATCTAACTTTACAAACGTTAGAGTGCTTACGTGATATTCTGACTCGTAATAAATTATTAATATAATGATATTTATAATTTAAGTTTATAGGATTAAAGTTCATTTTAGCCGATGTGGTTTTGGTCATAGATCTCTTAAAATATTATTATTTTTTATGTATAAAATAATTTATATATTTTTAAAAATATAATATATAAGCTTCTCTCGTAAAGTTTGAGTTAATAAACGTTAAAGTTTGCGTATGTAGCATGTTGACTCATGATAATATATTAATATAATGACATCGATAATTTAAGTTAAAAAAACTGAGACCACCATCAATGATGGGACGAGACGTCATCGTGAAAGTGACCACCAATAGCAACACCGAGCCGTTGTTGTTTGGCAAGACATCATACTCACGTAGCCTCTCTCATGCTGATGGCAAACTCAGAAGCTTTCAATCCTAGCATCGGATTAGTTAATGCACATCCACCTATGAGAGGACTAGAAACTCCTAAACTCATCGTAAATACATAATAGGTTGTGTATATATGATGCCCTAGTAGGCAACAACAACTTGATGCTACTGTTGTTGGTTGTTTTCACGACACCGATGCCTTCCTACTATTGATGGAGGTCTTAGTTTTTTTTTTTTAATTTAAATTATACAAGTTAATAGTTTATTGTGAGTAGACTATAATATTTGTTAACTTCGACTTGATGGAAGTAGCTTATATGTTATGTTTTAAAAAATATAAGAATTAATTTAAATATAAGTAAACTATAAGGGCTTAAGAGATCAATGACCAACGCCACACGAGTTAAAATGAACTCTAATCATTTAAACTTAAATTATATATATTATTATATTAATAATTTATTTTTAGTTAGCATATAAGAACGTCTGTTAATTCAAACTAGATAGGAAGAACTTATATGCTACGTTTTTTAAAATAAAATATTATTATAGATATAAGTAAACCAATCAAAACCATAAAAACTAAAATAGATCTTAAACCTTTATTTAAATATAAAAAATAAAATTATTATTCGATATATTTTGAACGTATCAACTAATTTGATTAGTAAAAATTTCATTAAATCATCGTAAGACTTTCACTTACCCTTGCAAAAGAAAAAAAAAGTCAAGAATTACATTCAATTAAGATGTCAATTATCATATTTATAAATCTGCAAGGAGTCTAACGGCCTCATTAATTAAAAGGAAATACATGTCAAATAAAAGGTAATTGACACCCACGATATCCGCACCCCTTACATGTCAAATAAAAGGTAATACAATCCAACTAAATTAATTGTTCGGCTTGACCGTGCCATTCTCCCGTACATGCGTAAATTAATGAAGCCAACTTGTAATTTTGGATCGTCGCAACATTGACACGCACACACCAACAATAATTTGGCCCATGGTATGGTCCACATCAGCTCCATGAAACACCCTCTCCAATCCCCCCAACTCAGCATGGGGCCTACTACCCATTAAAAGAAAAAAAAAAGGCATGTGCCACACGAAACGCAATCCCAGCCGTTTGATCCCGCTCCCTCCATCATGATCGTATAAATAATGTCTCCTTTGCTTACAATACAAATAATGTAACATTAAGTGAGGTTATATTGGCTGTAGCAGAAGATTAAGGGGGTAGTCTTAGCTGGAATTTGTGGAGGACAGCTGTCAGTCTCGTACGGCCGACAGAACGAGAATATGCTGCCGATACTTTCCCACTCAACTCCGAACTACCCCTTCACAAACCTCATCTCTTATTCGACGTACCTGCGGGTCCCGCGCTCCGCCATGACTCACTGCGTTTTGGCCAAAACCATCGAAGGGGGAAGGAGAACATGACACGCAGCGTCCGTCGCCGTTCGCGACCCTCCGCTCCCGACGCCCGGATCTGTATCCGCGCTGCCTCGGCCCCACCTCTTATTATATGTATTCCTATTTTGCCCTTTTCACATGCGATCAATAATAACACCTCTCTCTCTCTCTCTCTCTCCTTCAACGACTTATCTCGGCTCTCTCAATAATTGGATTTGTTGGTAACTACAATTATTATGCAAAAGGTGGTCAGTGACTTGGGGCCATGATATAATGGCTGCGATGCATGTGATCCGCATGGGTCCCTCCACGGTTGATGGACACGGTGGACGACGTGTCTATCTTATCATTCTCCCAAGTCAAGGAGTTGACGGGGTTGATATTTACGGTGGCGTCATCGCAAATAGGCCCCAAAGTAACGTCCTAATTCGGGGGCCACTCAGAACACGAGTCAAACACTCGCCCAGTTATGAAAGGACCACAGGGGCAAATCCGTCATTTAGGGAATTCCCAGCACACCACTTCGCTGTCCATCTCTAAACTCAATATTATATATATAAATATATATTTTTATTATAACTTATATTAAAGGAAATCTTCCGTATAAAAGAGAGGCACCCACTAATTAACCCCTCTCTCCCTCTCGCTATACTCGCTCCGCAGGCTGTTCCATACTTCCTCGACTTCTCTTCGGCGCTCCGTCGAGCACTCGTCCCGTCGGCACCGGCCGGCCGCCGTGATTTGTTTCCTCCGCTGTTTCCTTCGGATTCATCTATTTTCCCTCCCTGCTGGCGGTGGTTCCTTGTCCTGGGGCCCTTGGGGGCCGGTGGATGGAGTGATCGATACGAGGTTGCGGGGGGATTGATGGGGAGGGTCGGCCTCGGGTTGGCGGTGGGGTGCGCCGTGGTGACGTGCGCGATCGCGGCAGCGCTCGTGAGCCGCAGCGTGAGGAGGCGGTGGCGCTGGGGTCAGGCGGTGGCGCTGGTGAGGGAGTTGGAGGTGGCGTGCGACACCCCAGTTGGGAGGCTGCGCCAGGTGGTCGACGCCATGGCGGTGGAGATGCACGCTGGTCTCGCGTCCGACGGCGGCAGCAAGCTCAAGATGTTGCTCACCTTCATCGATAACCTGCCGGATGGGTAAGTGGTAATTGCTTTTGTTTCTTCATTTGCCCTGGTCCATCATTCCGAACACAGACTTTGCGGCTTTTCCCTTTTGTGTTATTGTACTGTTTGTTGGATACATACAAAGGATCTTGAAGCGTTTCTGCTGTGTTTGTTTCTTTTGGGATATCTGTATCTGCTGCAACTTTGACTTTTATTGCATTAAGGAACCTTATCTTTACGTTGGAATATGTGCTTATAGTGTGATCAGCGGGAACACAGACCGAAGTGGTGAACTATTTATTGACTTTAATTCTTGTACAATGCTTATTTTTATTATCCTTTTCCTCTTTTAGTTGTTTGTTTATGGCGTTGTATTAATTGGTACCTTGTTCTAATAGATTGCTATTTGTCTTGCAGAATTGATGGTCTGAATCTGTAAATATTTTGAAAAGATTTATAGTGTGCTTGCATTGTATATGTTATCATTCAATTTGCATGTGATGTCTTTTTATTTCTTTTTTGTTTCTAGATAAAGTTTGATAGATGAACATTTTCTTCATTTAGAATGATGGAAACAACTTCATGCATAAATCTATCAATTCACTCTTTCTTTTGGCTTTTAGTGAATCAAGTTGGTTATTTGCATTCCATTTTTCCTTAAATGAACATTTTTTCCTTGCAGTACTTCTGAATTATACCTCATTTGAAGTACTTCTCATCATAGCCTGGGTATTACTGACAATTTACTGCTTACAAGCTGAATCCATGCGATTAGTTGTATCATGGGTTAATTCTTCTCATATCAATTCAACTTGATTGGTTAGTGTATTATAGTTGTTGGTATATGAGTTTCGAGCATAGTTAGTAATGACATTTAGGAGCTACCGCTATATTCTGAGAAGAGATGGAGAAAGTTTTGTGCTCCTGGTTGTTCTTCATACCATAGTGTTATTAATGGCAAGAAATGGCGAATACAACCAAGTATTATTAATAATATCATTTTAGACCAAAAAGAAGCTGATTCGAGATGACATAATAGGGCTGGGAGGGGATTGTTCACTGCAAGAAATTATGATTTTAAATTTGGGCTGGAAGCATTAATCTTGCTCGTTTGGTAATGCCATTTTGATACTAAGAAACATGCACCTATTAGGTTGATTCATGTCATAACATTGGTGATGTAAGCATAAAAGCCATCAAAGGAAATTTGATCTTTCATTGTTGAGTCTAGGACCTACTGAGAATAGTATTTGCGGTCTTCCTTTTCTAATTTTTCCTTCATTCTACTTCCATGGGGTCATGATAAGGATGGTTCTCTGCAACATGGGTGATCAGTATTGGAAGCACAGGAATAGTACTCTGCTTGCCAGGTTATGACTATGCATATCGACGCTTATGACGTGTTGTATTGGCCGTCCTTCGAGAACTGAACAATATGTTTTGACTTCCCCTAAACATAGATTACCATCATATGTCTATTGTTCACTGAAAGAAATGGCAAATACAACCAAGTATTATTAATAATATCATTTTAGACCAAAAAGAAGCTGATTAGAGATGATATAATAGGGTTGGGAGGGGTTAGTTCACTGCAAGAAATTATTATTTTAAATTTGGGCTGGAAGCATTAATCTTGCTCATTTAGTAATGCCATTTTGATACTAAGATACATGCACCTATGCAGTTGATTTAGCATATGCACTTGATTTATGTCATAATTGTGGTGATGTAAGCATAAAACCATCAAAGGAAATTTGATCTTTCATTGTTGAGTCTAGGACTTCCACAAGAATAGTATTTGTGGTTTTCCGTTTCTTTTTTTTTCCTTCTTGGGGTCATGATAAGGTTACTTCTTTGCAACGTAGGTGATGAGCAGGAATAGTCCTGTGCTTGTCGACCCTTTCAATGTGTTGTATTGGCTGTCCTTCGAGAAGTGAACAATATGTTTTGACTTCCCCTCAAAATAAATCAGCATCATATGTGTCATAAAGTCATGATTAGGATGTGTTGCTTCATGTTTGGTTTCTTCTTGATAGTTGTTGTATATTGTTTGGCATATATGAATATGATTAAGCCTTTGATCAATTTCATGCGTATATCTCTATTTTTATATATTCATGGAAGCACCTTAAAATGATTTTAGGAAACCCTTTGGTGAATCAGTGAATCTCAACTAATTTGACTTAATTTTTCAAGACATGTAGGGTAATTGGGTTGCTTGAGGGGTGCACAAACATGCATCTTTTACGTTAAATCATGTCAACTGGAAAGATGATATTCTATGTAAGGAAGCTCTAGAGGTTTTTGCAGATCAGTTTTCACAGTCTTTCTTTTTAGTTTTTTCTTAACTTCTTCAGGAAGTGAACAGTGGATTTGGACTGTACAAAATGCATATCACTATGATAAGTTTCACAAAGTTATGATGAGGATTGGCTGTTTCCTTTCCTTTTGGCTATGTTTTCTTCTTATTAGAAATGATTGAATGAACTGATGTTGATTTCTTACCAGAACCGAAGAAGGTACATACTACGCACTTGATTTAGGAGGTACAAATTTTAGGGTCCTGCGGGTTCAGCTTGGTGGTAAAGGGTCCATGATATTGAGTCACAAAGTGGAAAGTCAACCAATTCCCCAGGAATTAATGACTGGTACAAGTGAGGTACTTCTTGCTTTCCTGTTTGGTCCATCTAATTTGTTTGTCTAATTTTCCTTATTTTGGCTCTTTTTAGTGGTTTCTTTAACCTAGTAAATTTCATTATTTTCTATGCAGGAGCTGTTTACTTTTATTGCTTCAATACTAAAGCGGTTTGTTCAAAGTGAGAATGATGGTTTTCAACAGCTACCAGATGATAGAAAAGATCTTGGATTTACATTTTCTTTTCCTGTGAAACAATTGTCTATTTCTTCTGGTGTTCTTATCAAGTGGACTAAAGGGTTTTCAATTGAAGATGCTGTGAGTTGAACTTATTGATGTGTATCATTGTTTTGTAAAGGGGTACTGACATATTGGTTTTGTGTCTTTTACCAGCAGCTTCTCTAGCGCTTGTGCCTACTCTGTCATGTTTTTCACATTTATCAGCATGAAATATTTGACATGTGGAAATAGAATATATGATGTCGGCTTTTGGTACCTTAATTATAGTTACAGTTTTATATACATGCTTCTCAGCAAGCATCTTTCCAAAGCTGGATGTGGTGTTCCTATAAATAGAAATATTTGTGATTATAATTATAGTAAGCTAACATCACCAATGCAGGCCCCAAGCTCGGAATAAAAAGGTGGAGGGTTGCGTTAGGTTACTGATAACCAGCGTAAAACTATGTTAGATCTCATAACATGGATCTTAACTGATTTTAGCATAGAGCTATGTCGTCACCCGGAAGTGACGTGAGACGCCTTCACTATATAGGTGTCCTCAATTGATCTCAATGGCGACAAAAGATCTATGTAGCCAACCTCAAAAAATTGAGACTTACAGTCTTGTTATTGTTGTTGTATAATTATAGTAAGCTTTATTTGTCACGTTAGACATTCATTTTACTGTTAGATTTTCTGTTCTCTTTATATTAAGATGTGACACTTTTACAGATGTGTTTGTTAATATAACTATTCCATGAATAACAACAGCATATAATTACAGTTATTATTGAGGTTTTGTTTCAAATATCTCATGTTAAAGGCCGCTACTTTCTTGATTTTACTGCAATGAAAGCATAAAAAGGGAACATTTTTTGCTTTTTGTTGCTTGTATTATTTTTTCCAAGCTTGTATTGAGATAATATTGATGTGGTTACACTCTCATGACCTGTCAAGTGAAAAGTAGCAGTAACCTTTTACATTTGAGTACTGTTTTTAAACATGATCTTCCACTAGCTAATACCTTGAAGTAGCTTGCTGCACTGGTAAAATACTGATCTATTATATGTGACAATTTTGGTAATTAAACATTTGAAATTGGCACAGTCCATTTGGTTTATTAACTTGAATTTTTAACTAATTCCTAGTCTGTATCTTTGTGAGCCTGTGCATAAAGCTAGATCTGGGAACAAGTTTATACATCATGGGATTGCATTTTATAAATTTTATGTTTGGGTAAAATTGTATAATGATAAAGATATGGTATACAGATATAACTTATGTCATATTGACCTGGAATATGATTTATATTGCTGATGACTTCATTCAATACAAGCCATAATGACAATTTTAGTGGTTGTTTTGACTAATTTATGCTTTGGGATTTAGGTTGGAAAAGATATTGCACAGTGTTTAAATGAAGCCATGACAAAGATTGGACTTAATATGCGGGTAGCTGCATTGGTATGATCTTAGTCTTCTAGCTGTTACAGCTTAAAAGCTTCACTATATTTCTTCAGATCTTATTGTTGTTTGCTAAAGTTGTTTAATCATTCAATGCCAAGTCTGTGCATGCATGTAAATGCATATTTTTGCATATTCTTGTAAATGCATGCTTAAAACATTTAGCATTAAGTGTTCATAGCATTGTAAATACTTGCACTTGTGCAATGCATATACACAATATTTTGAGCAAGGAACTATATGATGTTTCATCATCTCAAAGAAGCTGGTGTTTCTTTAATTTGGGAATGCTACTATGTGTCAGTACCTTGTGTCGGTACATACATCCAGGGACTGATATGCCTGGTCGGATATTTGATGACAAACCTTGATTTTTATTCAGATAATTAAGTTGGTATTCACGTAAATAATTCAGTGAACTCTAGATGGACCGCATGACCATGTTTGTGTGACTGGTCATCATCTGTATAGTACGAATTACCTTCTTGACAATGTATCAACTTGCAGATTGATATTAAGACTGGAGCATTCGACTGCTCCATCTGGTGATTGCAAATAATGGCTTAACCTAAAGTTGGATCGGTTTATGATTTTCTGGATGTTAGACCTAATTATCTCCTAATTTTGTTGTGTTTTTTTATTTGGATTTTGTTATTGTACTCAAAAGTTTGCAATAAAATCTGCTGCCCAAGTGATTTTGATCAAGTTCTATGTGCTGGTTGTAACCAGGTGAATGACACTGTTGGCACATTGGCTCTTGGGCATTATAATGATGAGGACACTGTCGCTGCTGTGATAATTGGAACAGGGACAAATGCTTGCTATCTTGAGCGCACTGATGCAATTATTAAGTGTCAAGGCCTTCTTACAAATTCTGGTGCAATGGTATCTTTTACTTTTATTATTCAAGTCATACAGTTTGATGCCTTTCTCATTCTGTACTAAAAGTAAAGTGCTGGTTTTATATCATCTGTGCCCATTCATTATTATACTGATTAGGTTGTCAACATGGAATGGGGGAATTTCTGGTCATCACATCTACCGAGAACCTCCTATGATATAGCTCTAGATGATGAGAGCCCTAATCGTAATGAACAGGCAAGGATTACAGTGCACCCACTTTTTTGTATACTCTAATTCTTGGTTGAGATGGCTTCTGGTTTTGATTTTGTGGTATAGGGTTTTGAGAAAATGATTTCAGGAATGTACTTGGGTGACATCGTTAGAAGGGTACTTTATAGGATGGCAGAGGAGTCAGATATCTTTTTAGATCCTGCAAAAAATTTATCAGTCCCCTTTATCTTAAGGTATGCTATTGATACATATTAAAACTTGCTTCTGGATCTTGGTCTAAGATTGGCTTGTCAGTTAACTGCTGTTCATTTCTAGTATACTTGTTATATCATGAAGCATTCTCATTTTTCTTTGGCAAATTTGTAGTGCTATTGCTTTTTAGTTCCTATTATACTTTAACTGAAGCTGTTCTTGTGATCTTTTATTGTGATGCTCTAGTTGATTTTCTGTTAGGGCATTTATTGGTGTTGCTTAACGACTTAACATTTGCTTGTGTGCATGCTATCGCACACAAAGACATGAAGCCTTAATTGCGTGGGTTTTCATGATAAAGCCACAAACATCAGCATGTTTCATTTAGAGAAGAACAATATATGAATGGAACACAAATGGAAAAAGAAAAACTATTAGATATGCAAGACGCTCATATGTCATATGCCTCTAACATAATCCAGAAAGTGTAATCTGACCACATTGAACATGACCAATCACATATCATCAATATGAATTCAATTTCTACATTAAATAAAATAGATTGACTTTTTTGTTTGATTAAAGGTGACTATTGGACCTTCAGATCTGCATCACAGAGACATAGTCATCTTGGATAACACTTTTAGAGTTCGAGGGTTGATAGTTGATACTATTAATTTATGAAAAAATGACCTAGTTAAGATCAATGGAGATATGCTGGCAATTGATCCTGCTCTGTTACTAATGCCATAATTGCATGGTGATACAAGGTTTTTCCTCACTATGGTGTGAAATCGTTTTCTTCTTCATGCTGATGTGATTGCATTAATATCAAGTTTTAGATCATGACATCGTAGCTGGTTCTTATCATATGATGGCTTCTTTTGGTCAGTTGAGTTCATGAACTTTCTCCAATTCTCAGTGCAATGGCATAGTATTTATGTTTGTAAAAGAGTAACAGCGTTAATTTCATAGTAATAACACAATAACAAGTCATAATGTTCCAACTATTTGAGATCACTTACATGGATACTGTCTTAATTTTATTGAAAGGATAATGTTACTAGAAAAAAAGTGCCGGCATCATCCAGAAGGTTCTTCTACAAATTTTTTGGTACGATGGAGAAATAATGAGCTGGTGCAGCAATAACTTTACTCTGATATCTCTCTCTTTATTATTTGTCTGACGGTGTATTAAGTGCAAACAAAACCCTCTTATTTGCGACTTTAAATTGCTCATGGCTTAAGTACTTACTATCCTTTTCTGTTTCTATCGTGTAAGAGTTTCCCAATTACCTCAAACTTCCCATTTGATCAGGACACCTCTGATGGCTAACATGCATGAGGATGATTCACCTGATCTGACAGAAGTTGGAAGGGTACTTGAGGAACACTTGAAGGTAGGCGCACTGTCCAACAATATCTTCATGGTCTTTTGCACCCAATTAACCCATTTTAGTTAGCATTCTAATCATTTCTGCTGGATCATGCCAGATATCTAGAGTCCCTTTGAAGGTAAGAAGGCTTGTCGTGAGAGTATGTGACATAGTCACAAGAAGAGCTTCCCGGTTAGCTGCAGCAGGCATAGTTGGGATGCTGAAGAAAACAGGACGAGACGGGAGTGGTGGTGTTGCGAGTGGAAGAACGAGAGGCAAACCGAGAAGAACCGTGGTCGTAGTCGAAGGCGGTCTCTACATTGGCTATACAATGTTCAAGCAGTATTTGAACGAAGCTATCGGTGAGATCTTAGGTGATGAGGTCGCCCCATACGTTCTTCTCAAAGTCTCCGAGGATGGATCGGGAATCGGTGCTGCTCTCCTTGCTGCAGTATATTCATCAAATAGATAAATCTTTCTATACATATATTATTATGTGCAAATATAGAAAGATCAGTTGATCATATATATATGTGTAGAGTTTTCATGATGTGCAGAATCTTGTTTCTTCACACTCACTTTTTCTTCTAGAATAGAACTCATAACAAACTGACATCGAAGATCAGTTGATCAAATATATAGAAAGATCAGTTGATCATATATATATATATATGTATGTATATATACATATATATATATGTATGTATATATATATATATATATGTATATATATATATATATGTATATACATATATATATGTATATATATGTATGTATATATATATATATATATAT